CTAATAAGATATCGGCATTTTTTTGTACTTCTTTGCAAATTCTAATCGACGTTTCATTTGTTTTGAATTTAAAAAAGGTTTTTTTCGAACTACTCTACCTCTATATCCTTGTTCTCTAATACGTTTTCTAATTGTTTAAGGGGTTACTGTGATATTGTGATCTTGAACTTTTAAAGCTAATTTAGCTGCCGAAACAAATCTAATTTTTTTCACATTAATAATGATATTGCGATCAATTGCACAAGTGGTCTTGCGCTTTCGTCCTCTACCAGCCACACTAGCAACAGTTCCAATAAATAATGCTTCTTAACAATTGAGGAGACTGTCGTAAAAGGAATTCCTGTTTCTTTTTGGATTAAACGGTAGGATTTTACTTGATTTTTCAAATCAACAACGAGGCTTCGTTGATGGAAAGACAAATGTTGTTTTCTTGACGCCATTTTGCTGAAACACTATATTTTATTTCTAGAAGAAAAGTGTAATTAAAAAGTTACTATTTTTAATTTTACTAACTAGTTTAATCGTTCAATTCGCTTAATTTATGCTAAAATAACGACAATTTTGTGTGTGTGTATATATATATATATATATACATATATATATATATATATATATATATATATATATATATATATATATATATATATATATATATATATATATATATATATATATATATATATTTCTTTGAATATCGCATACTGAAATTCTAATAATCATTTTATCATTGCAATATACTACATTGTAAAATGAACATTTAAATAATAGCCAATACCTCCATTTATACTGACAATAAAACATGTTTAATTTTAAATGTAATAAAACAAGAACAAACAAACAAAAAAGAATATTGCAATGTGGTTTTATATAAACGCAACAACCTTACAAAACAGTTTTATACAGCTTTTTTAGTTAGAGTTTTCAGGTTAAAGTTTTTGAGAATTTAAAAAGTCTTATATTGTCAGTATGAACAGGATATTATCATGAACAATAAATACTTGTCAAAAATATAAAAAGAATGTATTACAACTCAAACAGAATTTTAGCTAATAACTTTTACTTACGCTTAGTTGACATTTCCTTAAATGAGGAACCACCCTTACCTACTTTTGAAGGCTTCTCAAACAAGTTGCTGGTTTTACAAGTATCTTGTTTAAATGATCCAATATTAATATTTAAAGACTTTGTAGCTGTTTCGAAAGTATCATCAGATGTGAAATGCTGAGAAGACGATATTGGTGTGAAAGTGAAATCAATTACTGGACTTACAGCTTTATTATTTATTTTAACTTTTTTAAATGCTAAACAACAAAAATGTTATGTTTTAAAAACGTACATTTAAATAATCTAAAAAAAACGACACAAAAATTTTGAATAAATTACATAAATTTTTAGCCTCATCTTCTGTTTGAAAATTTAACATCTGATTACAGGTTTCTAATGTTCTAGAATTTAATATGTACTCAACAAATTCAAATTCCTGTTATCCTGGTTAAGGTACAGCCCATTCTGCGATATACTTACCAACTGCCTTGTACTCTTTTGGAGGAAAACATACTACACAACTATTCGAGTCAACCCAGTGAGCTGGAACTACTGTTTTTGTTGGTTCGTTTTTTCTCAATGATCACGATAGTGCTGAATTGTCCAAGGAAAATTAGAGGATATTTATTTAACTTGTTATAGAATTGTTATGGCAATAACTATAGCTTAAGCAAAAGTTTTAAAAACAAAATAAACTTTTAAACAAATGATTTGAAACATTTAATTCTACAAAAATATGTAGCCACGGTGTTTACCAGGAATAAATTTGATACAGCGTTTTAACGAAATTCGTAATTTGTCAAAGTATTTCTCTATCACTCCCTCTCCCCTGACATAAAAATGTGTTCTGCGAAAGCTTGGGGTCCTTTTTGGTGTTCTTTTTTTTTCTACTCTACTTCAGTGATCTCCAATGAGCCAATGGTCTTCTACTTCTAATTATTATTTTAATTCTGCTTGACGTACTTTACGGACGAACCCTTACATTATCATGTAATAAATTGTGTGATCAAAAGAAATTTTTTGAAAATAGATAAGGAATATAGATATTCAATTTTATAATTAAATTTATAATAAATTTATTTTATACATAAATTGCATAGCGAAATAAAGTTATAATTACAAAGTCTCAGCAAAAACAAAAACAAATGTCGTTTAATTATAGAGTAATATTATTAGCAAGGATTGCACGCGTCACATCAAAGAATACCAGTAAAAAAACTTTAACAAAATTAGTTGATATTAAATACCAAACAAAAAAAAGAAAAACAATAACTAAAAGACTTTCCGTAATAACCGCAATTGATCAAAAGGTATCTGACATAACCTTCTCCATATTTTTATTGACGAAATACATGTACTATTAAAAACTAAAGTTGAGTTAACGGTTAGCCAGAAAGGGCGAAACTTTAAAGGGATCCCAAACTCCCAACACATGTTGTGTTCATTTTAAAGATAATGATAAAAAAAGGTTTGAACCAAGTTTTTTTGATTTAAAGTAATTAATGAATGCATACCGAGAAAAACTAATGTTGTTGTTTTAGCCGAAGCTCGCCTTATCAATTTTTTTCAATAATTCGGAGTCTTTAAATTATAGGTCACCAATCTACTGGCTTTGGCGATTCCTTTGAAGCGCGTTTAATTCATAAAAGTTTTAGCATTAACGTCAAGGTAGATTTTTAGCAAAAGAAAAGTGTAATTAAACAAAGCTATTTTAATTCAAAAAGCATATTTTGAGCATACAGCAAAACAACTTTTACAACAAATTTTTGTAAAAATCAAAAATAATAAAAGCTTTTTATTTCATAGGAGGAACTTTTTTTTATACCGATATCTTATTAATTTTTAGATTTATATATCTTACTTATAATTCTTTTGTTTTTAAATTAAAACAAATATTAAAGCTTTACTTGCGAATCTTATGATTTTCATAGTAGTGTTTTACATTATATATAACGTTATGTATACGGTCTCTCGTTTTTGTGCAAGAGAGCGCAGTATTATATGTTCTGAATCTTACTTATTTTTATTTATACAATGGGAACTTTTTTCTAACTTCTCTGGTTATTTTTACGCTATGATATTTTTCGTTTTCCCGTCGAAAAAAAGTATTTATTAACAAATAGTTTCATAAACTGAAAGTATTAATTAGAGATATTTGATGAATTGTTAACTTTTTTTATAAAAAACATTTTTGATTACGCTGATTTATTTTAAATTGCTAAATTTGCTGAATTAGATACGGATAAATAAGCAGTATCATTTTATTTTACATTTGATTTTTGACAATGAAACTTTTAAAATGTCAGCAACTCCATACCAATTAAAACCTGTTAAGGTTATGAAAAAAAAGTACAAGAATACACTAAACAATACAGTTGACAGAATCATCAGATATCAAAATTCGTGAAAAGATATGTGAGATCCTGGTTTTGCATCAATAGTACAAATAATAGCAGTACAAGTCGGCATTATAAATTTTGATTACAGTTTACTGTTCAATATTTTATAACCATCAAATAAAAAAACATGAAGTTTGTATATTGTCGCCCTTTTTATACAACCAATATTATTATTATATAACGCAATAATTAACGCATTAGTTAATGGCAATAATTCAAGATAAATGGTAATTTAAATTGTAAAACGACGACTATCTTTACTTTTTATGAACTCTGTTCTTTTTCATACTATTTACAATTTTTATACATTTCGTCAACAACAAAAGCTCCCTTGGGATAATTAATTAACAAAAGAAATTACGACATATTTACACTAAGGATTTGTAAACGCTATTAAATTATAATAGCGTTTACAAATTAGCTATTAACATCTCCCCAAGAACTAAGTTCTTAAGGCAAATAGTCATTTAAATATGTCGGCCTTCTCCGTTCTCTAGTCGAACGTCTGAGCAACGGTAATAAATTATCCATGACTTCAATACCGTCATTTTCTTCGTCAGCAACTGACTCTTCATCAACTGACTCTTCAACTTCCTCGTCTCTTGCAATATGTAAATCGTCGAACTCACTTTCGTCGCTTTCATTTTCTTCAACACTATTCATTCTTGAAACTTTCTCACCATGTGATTCAGGAACTATTCTCACGTCTCTCACATGTCGTGGTACACCATCAATTTCAATATTTGTTTTTGAAAGTATATTGGTCACGTTACCAATTTTCCAAATCGTAGTACACTTTGCACCAACAGGACGAACATAAACTTGTGCTCCAATTCTATAGGTTGCCGAGTCCTTTTGTGGTCTTTCGTGACTTTCTGTGTTGTGAATAGGTAGACGCCAGACGTACTTATTTTTTAGAGAAGCAGGTGTAGAGTCTTCTTGCGTTCCAATCATTGGTGTTGTTTTATACCAAACTACCGCTTGTAACGGACATATCTGTGCTCTCGCAGATGCGCGTTTTACTGTGCGGTGGTTACGCTCCACGATACCATTTCCTGATGGTCTATATGCACATCTATACATCTTTTGCACACACCATTTTTGACAACTCATTTGATCTAAACACAGCTCCATTGTCCATCAATAGTTCGTGTGGCGGGCCATGCTCCCTAAATACGGAATCCAATTGAATTAATACACTCTTTGTATCTTCGTGTAGCATCTTTCTCCATACTGCGAATCGACTTGGTCCACAGTCAATCATTGTTAGGTACGGTGACCCTTTATAGTGAGTTACGTCACATGCAATACGATACCATGTATCTGGTACATCTAGCACTCCATGTTCCTATTTTATTGGTGCTGGATCAATTGAACTACATTGACGACATTTGCGCACGCAGTCTTTAACGTCTTTTCTCGACACTTGCGGGATTCTTTGTTGTACTGTAAACATTGTTCGATTTACGCCAAAACGATGTCTCGAGTGACATTTACGAATTTCATCGGCAATATTTACCCCACATAATTCTTTAACATTTTTTCGTGAAATTTCATTTAACCGCTTTTTTGAAACGTGGTTAAATGAAATGTTAAATGTATTCTTGTTAATACATCTGCTTTATTTTTAGAAGACGGAACCCACTTCACTATGATGTTCATACTGTATTTATTTATTAAATCACGCAATAATGAAAGTCTTCGTTTGATTAGCATTTCTGATAGTCCATTTGACCGAACCCTATGACTTTCAGTCAGCACACTTTTTAACCATCCATTAACAGTTACCGAGTCAATAAATATCGATAGGTTCTTGATGTCCCACTTAACAGCTAGGTTTATTCCACGCACCACAGCATCTAATTCAGCCATATTAATATGCATGACATCATTTGTACTTCGTAGCCATGCTGCATCCTCAACTATTACGCCGTTATATTCGATTGCAACACCGATTGCAATACTACTAGCGTCACACCACAATATTGCTCCATTTTGAATACCATCAGCATTCCATGTCCCATTTACAGGATCACTAGCTTCCAAACGGCGCAATATTTCGACCAACCATGACTGTGCTTGATCTCCTATTAGGTCATCCCAAGCATCTCCTTGGCTATAACGTTTTGTAAAGCTGCAGGCAATTCTGAGCCAGTTTCCAATTGGATAGTTTCCAATCAAGTGACCACATATTGAAAACAATCTCCGACGTGTAATTTTTTCATTTTCGATGTCTTCTGACTTTGGAATGATATTGCCGCGTTTCCAACAAAGCACTTTTTTATCGTTTCTGAATATTTGCAAACCCAAAACTCGGGCACCATCATATTCTTCCGGCTCTTTTGTTAACAAACCATACCGTTCCAAGTGGTTTACGACATTTTCAACCGATGTCTTTTTCAAATCAACGATTATGTCGTCGATATAATGGTCAGTTGCTTCATCAATACCTGCATCAAGACCTAGCTCTTTGCCTAAGATTGACGACATAATCTTTGGTGCAGAATTTAACCCAAATCCGAGTCGTTTAAGATGGTATTGCATCTCTTTGTAGACTACCCTCTGATACTTCCACAAAACCGGATCAATGTGTATTTGCATGTAGGCGCATCTGAGATCAAGCAATGCAAATTTTTCACCAACTTTTCTCCATCTCCTCAATGTTTCATCGCAGGCATCACTTGAAGCGTTATGTGAATTAACGTATTGGTTCAACTCGCGAAAATCCAAGACAGGTCGTATCTTCCCTTTATTTTCTTGTTCAACTGATATTAAAGAAACAATCCCTTTATTATTATTTTCATCTGTTTTACATGGTTTCAGCCAACCATTTTCCACCCATAAGTCCATCTCTTCGTTAAATTGATGTATCAACTTGGGTTTTACTTTGTACTGCATGACAAAGTTCTTCAGTTGTGGTTCATCTTGTTTCCATTTATATTTAGCAGTCCATTTCATGCCATCAAAATTAGCGTCAAAGTCCTTGTCCTTTATATCAACAAATTGTTTTTCTGTGTGAATTGAAACAAAACCAAATTCAATTCTTCCATCGTATAGGTGCACTCCTCCACAACGATTAATAATATCCATACCAATAACAGCATCAATACCGTAAACAACATTTTTTAAAACCATTACGGATGCTTGTAGTTGTTTTCCTGCAACCATCAATGTCACTATAGCTTCTCCCACTGTTTTCACAAGTTCTCCATTTACAGCCAGTAACATGAATTCGTTTCTTTTGACACAAACACCTTCTTTTTGAGCCATTTTGTTTGAAATGATGGTTCGAGTACATCCACTATCAACCAGTGCTTTTCCTGCATATGTGTTCACATGCACACTGCATATCGGAAGCGCCGTTAGTTGTCGAGGGAAACAGCTGGCGCTGGAGGTTTCCCACTTGCGTTTCCCTGTTTCAAGGAGCAAAATCTTGCAATGTGTCCAGTTTTTCCACATCGAAAACATTGTATTCCCTCAGTAACAGCTTCTTTCTTTGCAAAACAGCTTCGAGCAACATGCCCAGGCTTGCCGCAATTGTAACAGTTGTATCGTGAAGCAGATTTTCTATTATTGTTTTTATGACTTCCAGAGATTGTTGTTGAAAGATATTCTTCTTTCGTTACTTTTGACAAAGTACTCTTGCGTGGTTCAATACATCATTCAAGTTGATTCCAAATATTTTGACTTGCGATTGTAGCTGTTTTGAAATTTCACCAGGCAATCCAGTTATAAAAGCTCGTTGCAATAATTCTTCGTTTTCAACTTTAGCCAACTGCATAAGTTGACGCAAACTGGCCATATATATATCAATGGATTCGCCTTCGTTCCATCTGCGATCCCTGAACAGCTCGTAGGCTTCGAAAAGATCAACCGCAAATGCATCCAACAAAGCTTTTTCGATATCCACGGCGGAGGCTTTCTCGTTTTCGCTAAGTTGTTCATACAAAGAAAATGCATCTCCTTCCAGAAATAACGAAATTATTAACGACAGATCGCCCATCTTTTGAAGCTCTCCGACCAGCTTGACTTTTTTCAGCCACACAACAACATCGCCAGACCCATCGAATTTTCCGATCATTTTTTTATTGCCGAAATAGCTTGTAAAACGACAACTATCTTTACTTTTTATGAACTCTGTTCTTTTTCATACTATTTACAATTTTTATACATTTCGTCAACAACAAAAGCTCCCTTGGGATAATTATGTACAAAAGAAATTACGATATATTTACACTAAGGATTTGTAAACGCTATTAAATTATAATAGCGTTTACAAATTAGCTATTAGCATAAATTGTCAAAATGTTATAATGCGCCTTAAAAAACATTATATTTGGTATTTCCCAATTTGTATCGTATTTGGCATATGTCTCTTAACATGAAAAATTAAAAAAATTTTAAAACACAACAAATACAAGTTTTCAAGCAATTTTCTCTTCCAATTTTCATTTATTCAAAGAAAAGTTACTATTAAACATTTGTTTCTCTGATCTAAAAAAAAGAACGAGTGACGCCAAATATATATATATATATATATATATATATATATATATATATATATATATATATATATATATATATATATATATATATATATATATATATTCTTTACAATTATTATTCATTCGAAGTTAGATTACGCGAAACTTTTCTTTCTCTTTTGTTCTACTCTTTTATAAAAAGAGCGAGCGATGAAATAAAAACTTTTCTTCTTTAACATGAATTTATACTAAGATATAAAATTAAATTATAAATAAGGCAACAATGAACAAAGCAACTAACAGATTAATCTGGGACTATTTTGATACTAACGAAATTAGCCAACATAAACAACATTACCAACGACAATTATCAAATAAACAACACAATATCGTATAATTTTACCGGCTTTTTATTTTTATTTCTTAGTCCTTTTAAATTATAAGTAAATTTAGTTCAAGTTAATATATCAATATTTGCAGTTGCAATATAATAAAGAAATGATGTTTAATGTTAATTTTTTTATTTAGTTATTTATTTTTTACCTATATTTGTTATAAGAAAAAATTTAGAACCCCCGTCATTAAAATAATTTGTTTTAAATATATTTCAAAGTGATCATTCAAACTAATTTTTTTCGTTTGACTTCCTAAACTTCAAGCAAAGCAAATTGAGACGAAATATTTTTTAACCAAATAAAAATGCCTTAAATAGTTTTTTAATATATGGCGCAACAGCAATTTATAGCAACGAACCAGTATAAAATATTTGAGGTTTTTAATATCTTTTTAAATGATAAAAATAGATAAAAAAAACCTCAAAAATTATCAAAAAAAGTTCGATTAAAAATAAATATAAATATTTCCAGAGTTTCATTTGTTAAAAGTCTTCCGTGACGTCAAATACTAAAACTTTTATGAATTAAACTCTCTTCAAAGGAATTGCCAAGGTCTGTATATTCCAACGTATAATTTAAAGATTCGAAGTTATTGAAAAAAATGGAGAAGGCGAGCATCGGATAAAACAACAACGTAGTTTTTCTCGGTATCCATTAATTATTTATTTTTAATCAAAAAAACTTGGTTCAAACCTTTTTTTTTAACATTATCTTTAATATGAACACAACATTTGTTAGGAGTTTGGGATCCCCTTAAAGAAATAGCATTTGCGGGTGTTAAACCAAACAAGTTTGTTATTATTTTGGATCCTTTAGATTCGTACTTTATTTCTTGCTAACTTTTTTATATCATATTTGCTGTTGTTGGAATGAATTGCAAAAAACTATTTTCAAACTTTATTGCAAGTTGCCACAAAAATCCCAATTCTCATGATGTTTTTTCCAAGAAACCAATTTTCGCAGTTAGGCAATTGCGTTTTTATACCAATAATGGCGATTCGATTTCATGTTTTACGTAATTATTGAATTAGAATTTTTTTATGTTATTTTTCTATTAGTTTTGAATAATAATTAATTTCAAATTATTTTTAGAAATATTATTAAACTTTAGTTTGGAAACGTTATTTGGAGACTGGGATTTTTTTATCTTTAAATTTGGAATTTTAATTTTATAAGCATTTAGGAAAACCGCGTTTGACGGGGCCCCACAGGGCTAGTTTACACCCTGGTAGCTCAGAATAATAAAGAAATTTTAAAATAGTATAGTGTAAGTATCACACTTTAAGTATATGTATTTTTACTTGGTGTAGGTAATTCAACAAAATTTTAGAGCTGGACAAACAGTTCTAAAAATTGTAGCCTAAAAACTGAGATATAAAATCAAATATGAACACAAACAGACAACATTATTGATAATTAAATTTTGCACAATTTAATAACCGAAAAACAAAATGATCATTTTCATGCATCAAACAAACACAATTTCTTGATACAATGTTTATGTTGTCTACTTTCTCCAATGAATGTTTATCTTTTTTTATGACGAATTTGTTCACTTTAGAATCAATTAAATCTGTGAAAAAATTATCTAACTCAGATTATCTAATTCAGATTATCTAATTCAGATTATGAATGCAGTAAACGGTGAAAGTATTACCATAATGTTCATGAGCATTAGTTGCAAAATAGTTAATTAACTCTGGTGCAGAATGTAAATAAATCTGCCTCAAGTTATCATTTTCTTCTCATGACATACGAATAGCAAACACTAAACTTAAGAAATATTTGTATGTTTTAGGGTCTAAAAGACTTTAAAGAACAACAATACCAGTGTATAAAAGAAATGTCCTAAATTCAGTTGCTTTCCAACGGTTAACCTCACTCAATTCACGAGGCTGTCTTGCAAATTCTGAAGGTAACTTTCCTTTCATTTGACTTAAACGAATCGAAATTTTTATTAAGTGTGCAGCAGACAATCTTCCTAAATATATACGAGGATATGAGCCTTTGAAATAATATAAACACGCCGCATTGCGTCTGAACAAAGCAGATGCATTTAGTCTAATGGAAATTGTCTAACAGGATCTAAATTATGTATTTCATACATGCTATCACAATGTCATGATGACACCTGTTATCATCATCTTTTTTAGAATATTGATAAGTCCGTAGCCCATTATCACTTCGTAATGAAATTAAATTTGGATTTGTTGTACCATGTACTATCTGACCTTGAACTGAGACACCACAATCATCGCAGCACTCACACGCATTGTAACCACTATGTTGTACAGTTCCCTTTAAAAGACTTCGAGCAGGTGAATCACATGGAAATGAAAATATGAAAACAATAAAAAACCTTACTCATAAACAAACTGTTTTATTATGAAATTCCTGAAGTTCATTTGAAAAATCACGCAGAAAACTAATTGCACTTGGCTTTTCATGCCCACCATACAATGCAATTGTAAACGAATTGAAGGTAGAAAATTGTGAAGTTATTAGCCATAAGTGGTTTCCAGATGACTTGAAAATTGAAAGACCATCTACATGAAACAGAAGTTTAATTTCTTTGTCAACATAAATATTATGTTTAATATATTTTCAAGACCTTTTCTTATACCAACGTAAAAATACTCTCCAGCATTTAATTCAGTGGTTTGAACTTTATCTAATGTACCCAATATGGTTCGTGAATCTTTGGTAGTTGATGGCCATGAGATCTTGGTATCACCAAAAAATGATTGAAACAAGCTTGAGTGCTTTGGTGTTGCAGAACAAATACGAATTTGTTCAGATAATAATTGATTAGATCGGGTACCAGTCAGTACAAATATCATACTCATCATTATCAGTACTTAAAGAAAATTATATTATATCAGACAAACAATTGTTATCATGAGATTCAGCAGAACTATTTTCAGAAAATACATCATTACTTGATTCACTTGCTGATTGATGTTCATGAAAATTTTGATGTTCAAAAAAAACATTTTTTTAAAGAATAACTTTCATTCAACTCTTGATTTTTGTTACTTAGGTGCTCCTCAACCCAGTTATCATCATCAACAGATTGTGAGATTGCACAAACATGTTTTCTAATATTTTCGCCAATAAGTAGTCCGCTCACTAAAATAACAGCATAATTACTTGATTATAAAAGAAAAATTTTATTAGAAGAAACACAGAGTATATGTTTTGAAGATCTGACAAGTTTAATAAAAATACAGACTTAACAATATTATTTCAAAGTAGTTAAAATATTATTTGCACTAATTGAGAAATTTATTTTATACAGCTGTTACGTTTTCAAATATTTATGCTTAAAACTGAGGATAAATGGAGAAACTTTCTTACCTTTTTAAGGAGGTTTTGGTCTTAAATGGCAATATTTTAATTAAAAATAAAAAGAATAAAGGAGAAACTTTTTAAATTAAATTATATTAAATAACAAAATGTCAAAAATGATAAAGGATTTGTTTAAATAATATATACATCTTATAGAACTCTAAATTAAAAAGGAAATAAGTATTTGCTTTATTATTAGTTAACATTAGGTATGTGCATATCTGGCTTTTACGCTACTGAT